TAAGGCGAGTTAAGGCCCAGAGTAGGCCTGACAAAGCCTTGACGATACGCTTTGCCTTGATCTAATGTACTGAACCAGGAGTTTCCCTCTAGGTTATCGAAGGTTTCTTGTATACTGGGGATGAGGTGTCTGTCTTGAATGGTCTTTTTATTCAGCGCACGGTAGTCGAGACATCCTTCTTCCTGACGCACACCACCCTGCTAGAGAAAGGTGATTTCGATCGTCTGATAAAGTTTTTGTTCAGTAGGTCTTCCAGATAGTGTTTCACTTCCGGGTAAAGTGGACGTGGAATGGACGCGTAATTTTTCTGAACCGGTTGTCTGTCCGTAAGATTTATCTCCATTTTCAAGTTCTTGATGCACCCAATGTCGTCATCGTCGATCGAAAAAGTATCTCACTCCTCATACAACAAGAAGATTAGAACGATTCGCTTTAACCGAATTTCGATATAAATTACATATATCCTATTTACACCAATGTGAAGATGCGAAGTTGTTGCCGTCTTTCCTGCAGTCAAGATCCCCCATTGACCATCGGAAAGCGTGTGAAATCGCCGAAAAAGCTGGTTGGGCCTATCTACGCGTATAATAACTTACGCAATATCAATGTTGAATCAACCGAGCTGAACGGAAAAATCAAGACGATCCTGGACGGAAATACACTAGGTATGTTAACAGCCACCATCTCTGATCGATGCATGTATGAAAAAAAACAAGATATCAAAGCGACATGAAAGAAAGTTTACTAAAGTTTAAGGTAAAGATAAAAAACATGAACAAGCGCAGACGCGTTGGGTTATTAATAATTCTGATCGGGCATTAATTAAATTGTCGTAAAATCACCCTTTTTTGAAAAGGCATGAACTTTGTTGCTTCAGTATAGAACATGCAAGGATTTAAAAATTTAGATGCCCTTGAGAAAAATAGAATTAGAGAAAATGTTTGCTCTGTTATAAAGAACGCTAGCCACCCTAGCAATTCAAACCGTCACGTCAAGAAGAGATAGACTTAAAAGATCTACGCAGTGACAAAAATATCTTAGATACAAAAGCCGAAAAAAGTAATGGCATGGTAGATATGAATCGAGTAGATTATAAAAACCAAGTAGAAAGAATGTTACAGGATGAGATTGTGTACAAACGCATAACGGATAAAAGACGTAGTCGAGACAGTTACAAGAACGTTTGTTGAATTGAAAGACACTGTGTTTTTTAACAGATGAGTACAAAAAATGAGACCATTTGATTCCTACCCGGCGGCGTTTTACGGTTTGCCAAAGATATACAAGATCCTAGCTTTAGTGGAGCAAAATGATCATTTTACAATAGAAGCAGACACAGAAGTTCCTCTTAGACCAATAAATAGTGTAATTGGGCCTCCAACGTATGAAATCTCCAAATATTTGGCACGCATTCTAAAATACTTGTACAATGATGTTTACACAGTTAGGAACTCTAAAGGATTTGCCAGTTTTATTTTCAATCAAAATATTGAACCTAATGAGCGTATCGTCTCATTCGACGTAACATCTTTATTTACATCTATCCCCGTTGATTTGGCACTTCAGATTGTTAAGCAAGAGCTAAATAATACAACGATTTGGACACAACATACTGGCTTATCTGCAGATCATATCTATGTTTTGCTAAAATTTGTTTTGAACAACAGTTATTTCATGTATGAGGATTGTCATTATTATCAAATATTTGGATGTCCCAAGGGTTCGCCAGTGGGTGCGGTAATTGCAGAATTAGTCATGCAAAGAATAGAAACAAATGCTTGAAATAAAGTTTTGTGTAAGTATTGAGCACCCTTTATAATATCAAGAAAACTTGAATTGTTATACATATATATATATATATATATATATATATATATATATATATATATATATATATATATATATATATATATATATATATATATATATATATATATATATATATATATATATATATA